TGGGGTGGGGTGGGGTGGGGGGTGGGTAAACCATTTAACAATTGTTAGATTTACAAGATTGAATCACAGTAATGGTGCCAAATACAAAATTAAAAAAAGATGACACATGGACAAATCGACAGAAAAAGACAGGAACAACGACACCAGATGAACCACCAACAGAGACAGACACATTTGAGGAAGAAGAGGAGGAAGGCAGTTACATAAACTATACACATGACAGAAATCTTGAGTAGAATGCATCTAGTTCCAATATATAAATTTTGAACACATCAGAGTTGATCTACATGAACATACATAACAGTTTAATAATATGTGAGACAAAGATTTCTGTCTAGATAGATTACTGGGCATCAAAACAATGAATGTCAGTATATAGTTTTTCAGATCTGGCATAAAAAGACCAACTATATACAGGCTGTCTTCTAGCTAAGTCTTTAATTGGCTGGATAGTTGTTTTAGTGGTACATTTGTAACTGGATTTACAAAGCCAGAAGTAACATAGGGTTTATATATCTAAAAGACCAAAATGTGATGTTTTTACCATCAAATTGTTCAACTAATGACAAGCAAAGCATAATAAAACAACATTGAAACAATCTGTTTGTATCTATTGCCTAGCCATTGCTTGCACTTTAAACAAATCTAGATTTTTTCAATTTACAGTAGTCAAGACAAATTTATTGACTTCTTACCGTTTATCAACCTCTTGTTTCTTCATCTCGGGGAAATATTCCAGGTAGTAGTCAAACATGTCCTCCGCAACCAAACTCTTCAAACAAACAGAAATTATAGGTAAGTGGTGGACCATGGCTTCAACACACACCAATCTACGATATTGGAATCTGACTATCAATAAAGACCACAAGTCAGTAGATCATCTGTCTATAAATGCCTGATGTAAATAAAGAGCACATGTCTATAATGATCACCTGACTATAAAGACTACTTGTCTATAATGATCACCTGACTATAAAGACTACTTGTCTATAATGATCACCTGTCTTTAAAGATCATGTCTTTTAAGACCTGTATATAGACCACCAGTCTATAAAGATAACCTGCCTATGAAGATCACCAGTCAGTAAAGACCTGTCAATAAGGACCACATGTCTATTAAGATCATCTGTCTTTAATGACCACCTGACTATAAAGATTCACTGTCCGTTAAGACTACCTGTCAATAAAGACCACAGAATATAAAGACTGCATGTCTATAAAGATCGCTTGGCAGTAAAGACCTGTCAATAAAAATCACTTGTCTATAAAGACCACCTGTCTATAAAGACCTGTATTTTTAGATCACCTGTTTATAAAAATCGCCTGTCAGTTAAGATCACCTGTCTACAAAAAACACATGTCTAAAAAAATCACCTGTCTGTAAGGTCTATAACTACCATATAAGAAAAAACCCAAATAGTAATTAATGACCTGTCAAAAAAAGAATATTTGTTATTTGAACACTTTCAACTGAAATCATTTGCATACCAATATGAAGTTTCAAGTGTGCATGGGGGAGGGCAATGAAGAGAAAATCCTGTTTTAAGCATGATTTTAAAAATATATATCAATGCTGCATAAATTTATCCTGGTTCACCAAAATGTTTTCATCCCTGGATCATTTTAAGTAAAATTGTGTATATACCCTAGCTTATCTCCAAATATATCAGAATGCCACAGGAAGTATTTGTTTCTGAAACTTTTCTGAGAAAGTGTAATTTCTTAACACAAAATCAATACTGAATTATATCTATTGCAATCAAAATTGATAAATATCATTAAATGTTTAATATCCATGGTTTCCTTGAAAGTTGGAACTCAAGCGTTCTGAAGAGTTATGAAACAAACAAATGGCTCTGATATTTACCTTAAACTGGAATTTGGCGACATATGACTTGAGAAAATCGTCAAAAGTCTTGACATCTCCTGCTAGCTGCTGGAGGTATGAGACGAAGGCGAATCCTTTCTCATATGGAGTCTCGTTGTACGTGTCATCTGGGTCTACACCTGGTTCTATGATCACTCTCAAACGATTCAACGGGTGGTCCTAGGAAGACAGGTAGCTCTACAGTTAATACTTTGGTTATAAGAAAGGAGTTAACTCAAGTATATTATTAGGTACTTAACCCTTTCACCACTGTAGACCATAATGGACTAATCTAGATCAATGCATGGAAGAGTTTGCTTAAGTTACATAGGGGTGAAAGGTTAAAAGGAGGTAACTTTAGCTTATATTTGGGTTCATAAACGGAGATAACTCTAATTTATGATTGGGTAAAGGGAGATAACTCTAGTTTATGACTGGGTTCAAAAAAAGGAGGAAACATGAGTTTATAATTGAATTCTTAATTGAGTCCTACAGTATTTATTTTTGTTGTTGAAATATGTACCAACTTGAGTAAAAAATAGTTAAGTATAACATTAACTTAAGTTTGTCAGGACCATTCCTAGACCGAGTTTCAGTTAAATTGGCCTATTAGAACTTGTTTTTAAGTTTGAAATAGTTATTTTCAAACTAGCGGCCGTGGCAGCCATATTGGATTTCTGATTGACCCGAAAACCCCCCCACTTAAGTTTCAGTTCAATCGGCCCAGCAGAACTTGACTTTAAGTTTGAAATTGTTTTCAAAATGGCGGCTGTGACCTAAAAAAGAGTAACACATTGTCAGGACCATGAGTCGATCATTCCTATTAAGTTTCAGTTCAATCGGCCCAGCAGAACTTTACTTTAAGTTTGAAATAGTTTTTCAAAATCGCGGCCGTGGTGGCCATATTGGATTTCTGATCCAATAACAACACTTGGTCAGGGAGATGTCGGTAACTTTCCCATGAAATATTAAGGAAATCCCTTTGCCAGTATTTCAGCTTAAGTTGAAAATGTTAACACACGACGACGGACGAAGAAGGATAGCAATAGGTCACTTGAGTCAAAGCTCAGGTGACCTAAAAGAAGATGACTGTTGTATATGATAGGGTCTTTGAAGGGAGGTAACTATCGTTCTAAACAGATCACTTGAAGTAAAAGTACAGATATTGCATACATGTTTATCTCAGTTTCACTTACATTGGTAAAAAGTAAACTGCATTTTAAAAGCTGACATTTCCTAAAGTAATATACATTTTTATCAACTGTATCATTGTTCTAGACACATAAGTATTTGACACTATTTTGAACAAGTAGCTTTTGAAAAAACCCTTAATGTTTCACTGTGTTTTGACTCAGACTGACCAACAGTCTAGAACTCACCTGACCAGTGTTTTCGATGTGTTGCCGTAGCAAAGCCTGACCAGTGGACGTCTCGAGACTTGTGTAGGCGGCACCGTAGATCTCTGACATTATCCGCCTCTGAGCATACATGGTAAATCCCTGAAATTTGAAATATTTATGCAAACCACTTGATAACCCTAACAAGCAGGCCAGGTTAACAATGTGGTCTAAAACATTTGACAGCTTTAGATCTTGATGTGTTGGTATGCTCATGATCACCTTCTGGTGTGGGGTGTGAAATGTTGCAGACCCCTATACAGGGTCTTTAAATAGTTGTTTTAGATATTGTTTAACCGAAAAAGCCCTTGGTAAGAAGAACAAACTGATGCACACTTAACAAAGGGCTGTGACTCAATAAATAGTTGCATATGTGACCCAATTATTATTAACAGCTTTGGTCATTTAAAGACGTGCCAGGTTTGGGAAATTGAAGAAAAACCTGCGTGCCCAAAGAAAACCACCGACCTGCAGCCAGTACCTGGCAACTGTCCCACGTAGGCCTCAAAACTGCAACTCAGTCTATGAGGCCTCCAACACTGGGTCGCAGGTTTGAGGCCTAGTGAGCCCCCCCCCCCCCCCCCCCCCCCCCCCCCCAACTCAGTGGATCACTCTGCCATTCAAAGAGGTACAATGTACTCACATAAAAAATTTGGCAATTGTTGGCCATTGAGTATTTGAGATATGCCCCAGCTAGTGTGACACACTGGAAGACATACTGACTGACTGATGGAAGGAAAGCCAATCTATAGTCCCCTCCAGTAGTAAAGTTTAGGGACTAAAGAGCAGTAACTAAAAACATTAAGAAACAAGATGATTTTTTTTCGTGTTTCAAAACTACTCACTTCATTCAACCAGAATTCACTCCAGTTGGCGTTGGTTACAAGATTACCAAACCAGCTGTGGGACTGAAAAACAATCCAAATTTACATATTCATGAGCAAGTAACTAATATATTGATAATTAATAACATTTTTATCAACAGGAAATTTACATATTCATAACTACACAATTAACAAATTCATAATAGAAAATTTACATAAATGAATATTCGTGAACAGAAAATTTAAGTGAAATCATCACAAGGAGATTTTTAAATGAGGTGGATATTTAATAGATAAACAGTGAAAACATGGATGGTTACACAAGATACACAAATTCATTGTACTCTTTAGTATTTACCCACAATCTTGAAGACTACTACATCTGTTACTTACAATCTCATGGATGACAACATCTGTGAGAGACTTGTCCCCGACAAGGAGACAAGGGGTCACAAAGGTCAGACATGGGTTTTCCATGCCTCCAAATGGGAACGAGGGTGGCATCACCAGCAGATCGTAAGTATCCCAAACGTAAGCTCCAAACAGCCGTTCCCCTGTCTGCAGGAAGTCTTCCACGACACCATCAAACTCGGCCCGCGCCTTCTCCTACAGGCAATCAATCAAAATTGGGTCTCAATAAAATGAAGCAATAATGACAGCATAGCTGTCAAGCCTCCCTCATAAGAAGGGAGTCTTGCTCATTTTCCCCAAAAAATTTCCATTCTCCCTTATAACTCCCTCATTCAAGTCCAAAATCACAAACACTCGAAATCTAAATCCTGTGGTCAAATGATCTCCTAGTTATTGCAGGGTGTGTGTAATGATTATAACAGGTCTGTCTGAATCAAATGAATGCTTTTTGGAGTTATTTTGATACATAAAAAGGGAAAGATAAATTGAGCAAAGCAGTTTCAGTCATGCTTTTCACACTTTCTCTCTCATTGGAGACGATCATGTATACATCTATATGTAATAGGCTTTGTAAATCAGTTATGGTATATGCTAGCAACCAATCAAAAAAGACATTATATATGGTTGGGTGATTCTATTGGTTGTATGTGTTTTGTTATTCTTTCCTATAAGTAGGAAAAGAAATCATGTCTTCACTTCTGGTTTGATGGAAACCGAGCGAAACGAAAAAAATTGCAAAAGAATGGAGCTGAATACCTACATATTATACCATGTAACCAAAGTCAGTGCAATGCAAAAATATAGGTCACAGTGACCGGACAATGAATAACTTCATTTTTCAAAATACATGCATGTATTATGTATATGAAACAAAATGGATGCTAGATATGCCAGTATGGACCAATATGTGTACTTTTCCTTCTAAAAAGGTTTGAAATGTATTACCGTATTCATCCTCCAACAAACTCAGGGGGCCAACACATAATCTCTGACTCAAAATCAGGGGGTGGGCTTATTACAGGACAACACATAATCTCTGACTCAAAATCAGGGGGTTGGCTTATTACAGGACAACACATAAGTATCTGTTATCATATGGTCTTGTAATGTGTCAAAATCAGAAAAGTTGATTGCTGGAATAATGACAATAACACTAATATGGATTTTTGAATATTGTTCAGTCATGGTAGCTAAAATTTCATTTCATTACTCATCATTACCAGGAGGCAAGGTTCCGTCCACACGTGACTGCGGGGTCCGATTTGAGCAGACGAGAGATCTCCGACAGCCAGGGCCACAAGATATGCGGGTATGGCATGGGGCAGACTGAAGAAGTAGTTATCCTTGTCACCAGACATGTTGGCTACCGTCCCTTTCCCCGACCTCTGACTCGCACTCATTACTGGCGTGAAACCCTCAGGCACCTGCCAGAACAAACAGGAAATATATACTGTAACATATATATATAAAAATATCATTACAAAATTTGTATTTCTTGTTACATGTATATAATATACAGAAACAAAAATATTATAATTGATATATGTATTTCATACTTGCCAACTCTCCCGATTTTGGTGAGAGACTCGTAAGATTATTAAATAGGAATAGGGCTAATTTATGAAATTACAAAAATTATTAAACATACCTGATATTTTAAGGTTTTTGAAATAATAATATTAAAATAGTTGCCTTGCCTGTTTGTCAATTAATTTGTTTGCACCCAAAGAACAAGTTTATCTTACTGGATAGTGCATTTGAGTGAGATAAATTGTAAGGGGCAGAGGTAAAATCTTGAGTATGTCAGGGTGCCTGAAAAATAAATAATTCTTTTTTTGGCCTAACATTTATTCTGTAATGGGAAAATCAAATGTATCAAGGTCACAATCCTTGGATTTTCAACATTGTTGAAGAAAAATCGTACTTGTGCAAACTCCATGTTACCTTAACATTGGCAGAATAAGGACTCTTTACGGCAGGTGTGTCTTGGCAGGGGAAGAAACACCTGTTCATCACAGCCTGTCCCTGAGTGTACATATATGGCTTCTTCTTTCCTGCGTACAATTGTTGGTGAAGAATTAAAACAGTTATAAGGTGTACATAAAACCTTTTAACCTTGATTACAGGAAACAAGGTAACATATAGGTTAACTCATTCACCCCTGAAGACACATTTGAATTCTTCCAATTCAAAAGTTGGAATAGTTCATTATGAAATTTCAGGGGTGAATGAGTTAAAATACAAACTATCTTCAATAAGATTCATCCATTTCGAGCTATTGACTGAGTCATAGCTTGACAAATGGACCAGCTGGTTTTGAAACCTTGCTACACATTTGATGAGTACAGTATTCTGTGCAAAAACTAACACTTTGATACATAAAATAAAGACTATTTCTTAATTTACAACAATTATAAAATATATTTCATCAACTTATCATAATCCCTTTTCTTGGCTTGGATTGAAGCATGCAGGGGGCATAAACACTACAGTTAACAAGGCATAACAAGTGATACAAATCCCCTCGCATTCCCACATTGTGTGCCATATGTATGAGGAAATTAATAGAAAAGTCTATGATGTAACAGTAACTGCTCTAGCGACTGCATCTGTTGAAGGTATTGTTATGGAAAACAATTGTGTCAAGTTTCACGAAATTCTGTTGAGGAATGAAGTCGATAGAGCAATGACAAAGTTTTCCTAAAAATAGTAACAGTGACCTTGAACTTTCATACAATAACCTGAAACGCAAATTGTCTGAGACTTGTCATACCAAACACTTGTATCAAGTTTTATGAAATTCTGTTGAGGAATGCAGTCGCTAGAGCGATGACAAAGTTTTTTTTCTAAAAATAGTAGCAGTGACATTGACCTTCAACACAGCTAGCCGAAACATAACTTACCAATTAAGAAGGTATTCAAGGTATTGTCATACCGAACACTTGTATCAAATTTCATGAAATTTTTTTGAGGAATGAATTGAAGTGGCTAGAGCGATGACAAAGTTGTTGTAAAAATAGTAACAGTGACCTTGACCTTCAACGCAGTAACCCGAAATTCGAACTCGTTCAAGGTATTGTCATACCAAACACTTGTATGAAGTTGTATGAAATTCCGTTGAGAAATGAAGTTGCTAGACCGATGACAAAGAGTGTAACATACTTACATACGTACGGCACGCGTACAAAATGTACATACATATACGTACTAACGTTTGGGCGGAATCCTATATCCTTACTTTCATTGCGAGGGGATAACAAGTAATATGTATATAATCAATCTTCTTAATTAACTGATGAAATAAGCTTATAATTGTGAATGTAGAACACCTTTATATTTGGCCTAGGGGTGACTTTGGCAGCCAATCTTGACCATTGTGACACCACATAGTTGAAAACTCTATTGCATTTTAGTTTTATTATCATGGCATACCGTTGTAGTAAATATTGCAAAAGTAACACAGGTTACAATATCTGAACTTGGTAATCATCTCGTTACAGGTGAGATGACCTTTTAACTTACCTGCTGTCTGTTCAGGTGAGAGCCAGCACACCCCTGGTCCACCAGAAGCTGTATAGGTGATGTACAGGTCAAAGGTCTCGGGGGCAGACAACTCCTTTTGTAACTTTAGACAAAATAGAGTAATGGACTTATAGAGATCAACAGATGGCATAATAAAGTAAAAATTGGGCTCATATTCAAGAAACGGTTCTCATGCTCAAACTCAGATCCTGTGCTCCATTCCAATTTCTTGTTATGTCAATAAATCAATAAACTAATCAAATTTTGTTAACGATTCAAAAGAATTTTGGAGAGACTGAAAGTTTCAATTGACTTTGTAACCTGTTATAAGTGCGTTATAAGAAATTCAGTTTGAGCACAGAATCCATGCTTGAGCACCAGAACAGTTTCATGAATAAGGGCCCTGCATGGTTACAAGACCAAGCACTGTCAGTTACAAATCTTAACTTGTTTTGGATTTTATGATAGATTTTCGGGGTCAGAGCACATGCATAAGCACCACCCATCTCCCACCCCTAGTCTCATTTGGATTTTTTTATCATTTGAAAAGATAGTGGCTACCGTAATTTTTAAAAGTGTAGCTCAAACTCTTACATAATTTTATTTCCCATATAAAAAGATCACACCAAATCTGATCCCAAAAATCAATCCGGTACTCACATTGGGCAATAAGTAACAAGGCCGGGTATGAGGACTTTCCCAAAGCCCCTAAACATCTCAGAAATTTTTAAACATGTAAGGGGTACAAATAAATTTCATTCCAATTTCATTTGCCACTACATGTACATTGATCTTCCCAAATATATTTCAAGTATGAAACATGGGCGTCCCTGTCCTGTTTCTGGATCCCGCCATGCAGGATCCATTTCTTATCACAGCCATTATAAGGGAGGTTAAACTCATTTGTATTTTTACTCACAGTAATGTCCAGCTCTGCTCCATAGCCTGTGAAAGGTTTCGAGACAAACTCCAGATTGGTCCTGCTGTTAGCACCCAAGGGAGAGAACTCCACCTTCTCCACTGTTAGAGACTCGTGTATGTCCAAATTTACTGCAAATAAAAAATAAAGTCACTTCTAAATAAATCAAAACATGACAACTTATATGTAGATCAAATACACCTGTCTGAATGGGATAGCTAAGAAATATATTTTTCTTATATTAACCCTTTCACCCCTTGATAACTTGAGTAGACTCTACCATACTTGGTTTTGTTTGGTTTGTTTGGGTTTTGCAGCCTTTTAACGAACCACAGACCAACGGCCAGAACTCCCCCATGTAGGTCTCAAACCCATGACCCAGTGGTTGGCCACTGCACCCCATCTACCATACAATCATCTGGATGAGTCAAAGATGGTCTACAGTGGTGAAGATTTTTATGATAAGACCAAATAAAAATAAGTGTGTTACCTGTTTCGGCTCCAAAAATAACAGGGTAGGTAGGTAGGCTTTTTTTTATTTCATTTTTTATATTATTATTTTTGTTGTGAAGAAAAGCTCCTGATTACCTTTGTGAATGTTAAAAATATATCATTATTTTAATAAAGTATGAAAGGCACCAATATATAACTTTTCATTCATGCAAAATAAATACACAAATGCATTCCTAGTTTTTGTGTTGAGCAGGCCCAAACAAAATATTGAAGTAAATTATTATTTGACCCACCTAAATGTTTATGGAGTAACCAACGTAATTTACAGTAGTGCTACCACCAGTGTCACATTTCTAAATTATACCTACTGCTGGACACCAGCTTTTAGTAATCCAAACTCGACTGATGGTCACTAGTGTTACGTTCTCTTTTGTATTACTGATACTTTCTGTTCTCAATTTCCACTACCACCAGTTCAAATTAATTGAACAACAAAATAAGTACATTCATATAAAAAAAAAAACACTATATTTACACCACAAGTTTTTTAATCTGTCATAAAATGTACAAGTCTTCACTATTGTGAACTCAATCCTATAAACTGTAAAACTACACAGATCTACAAACTACAGCTGAAATTACTATTATAACTAACTTCCTAATTCTCACTTTAAGTCTATTTTTTTCAACTCTCCTCTATATTTCTTGACCTCCCGACTGGGTCTTCCTAACTCAACCTCCTTCCTCAAGACTCTTTAACTCAACTCCCTAACCCAACTCTCTGGCGGAGTCCTGCTTTGACTTCCAAGCTGAACTACATTACTATCTGTACCTTAAGTAGCAAAATTTGACTACAATAAAAATCTTGATACACCAAAATTGTTTATGCTGCTGAAATCCTTCTAAACACTGACCATAAATCCTGCTAAATTTAACTCTGGTGGTCAGCATAAGCTGGAGGCACAAACACTAACATCACAGACTAGACTCCCCCCATCTGGACTACAGACAGTCACACTAATCTACAGATCTCAATCTATATCACAACCACAATTATCTACTGCTACTTAGCTACTATCTTCAAATAAAACTGACACTGACCATGTAGCAAATTATCTGTACTCTTTGAACAATCAAACGGCTAATGAATGCATTACAGTGACTGTGAAAAAGCAATTAAATGTATAAGGGTCGGCATGAAAAAATGGGGTCGGTCGGGAAACGGGAAACACAGCTATATTTGTGGTTCCAGGTTGTTTCGCCCCAAATCCCGTTCGCCCTAGGTTGTTTCGCGCTAGGTTGTTTCGCCCTAGGTTGTTTCGCACCAGGTTGTTTCGCCCTAAAACAATTCTTTTAGGGCGAAACATTGTTTGGGAATTTCCTTTCATTCTTATTTGTTTTAAGTCACAAATTAAGTCTTCTTAGTCTTTCATATCATTAAAATCAGTTTTATTAAAATAAATATGTGTTTTGTGTTAATGTGTACATTGTAAAGCAAAAAACGGATTACGTTATTTTCTTCATGCCGACACACATTATAACATATATTGAATTTAATTTAAGAAATAAATAAGAATAGTGAAATGAAACAAAATTGGTGTAATTTTAATAACATTTCGGGGTATACAACAATATTATTTTTCCGTGTTAACACATTTAGTCTAGTGTACACATAATCGTCGCCGTGTGACAATGTTTTCTTTACTTGATTTCGGCGCACGTCCGTGTTGTTTTTTGCTAATTGGAGGAGATCATTTTGAGAAGTTTTGTTAGTACCGACCAATAAAAATTAATATGCATATTAATTAAAAAATTAGAAACTAATTTAGTTTCATTATATGTCCATATCTTATCTATATTTTACGTATCTATGTACTTAGTGAATTAATTTAGTTTCGTTATATATCCCGAACGTTAAAACATGTACAGGTGCATTTTATGTACAGGTTCGTTCTTTATCTTCCGGCACCTAATTATACATATATTATATCTGGATTCAAGAGAAAGATAAGGTGTTTTTTTTTACTTTAAACATGATATTTATGACTTAAAGAAAAAATAATGTTTTAGGGCGAAACAACCGGGGGCGAACGGGTTTTGGGGCGAAACAACCCTTAGGGCGAACAGGATTTGGGGCGAAACAACCCGTTACCTATATTTGTATTTGGCCTAAGTACATGTACCTTATTATGTTTAAAAAGTGTATGCTACAAACTGCCATACTCTTTTTCATCTTGGGCATTCAGCGTGTCTGCATAAAAAATAGCTCACTAACCCCAAGCCTCCCACATGAAGATAATGAGCAGCTATACCTTTCCGTGTGGTTTGCTTGACAGCAAAAGAGAGCCGCGCTGTGCCAGTAACTCTCTGTCCCTCCATGTCCACAGAGATGTCCAGGTGGTAATGTGTGACCACGCACTCGCGAAAGTTGGACACAGTGGCGACATCCTTGCAACTGTCCGAATGTAAGACCATTTTCTTAAGTTCGATGCACTGCTTGTGGAATGTCGAATGACTCAGTCACATGTCAAAGTAGCTGACAGTATAATCATGTGATTACTTGACTGGCGAAAACGAAACTAGGTAACCGGAAATTGATGAGCTAGCAGTAACATTCAAAACATGAAATACAATTTTATCCGGAATTATTTATTTTTATTAAAGATTTATTTATTTATCAATATATGCCGTTGTTGATCGTATGATTGAATTTTCTTCAACTTCTTTTTTTTTTATATATATATATATTGTTGGTCAACTTATTCCAATGCCCTGTTAGTTAAAGTTATTTCTTATTTTATTATTCAGTATTTTTGTCTTTACATTTATCTTTGGCAGTAAATCCAATTTCTCAGTAATACCATAACCCAGATACGGTCAAGTACACAACATAATACCTTAGCATTTTAAATGCATGTTTTCATGTCTACGAGTGGTCTGGCTGAATAATTTGACCAATAGCCCATCAATGAGGGCTTGTGGCGCAATGGATAACGCGTCTGACTACGGATCAGAAGATTCCAGGTTCGAATCCTGGCAAGCTCGTATTTTTTGACATGATATACATTTTTCGTTATATTTTATCATTTTACTGTCAGAACTGAATAATTCAAAAAATGCCATTACTACACAACGCGGACAAACCAAACACATTAATAATCATAATTTTGTTCGTATATGTCATGAAGTGACTGAAAATGTTATTTGTGCACAACGAAAAGTAGCTAAGTTCGATCTATCAAATATTTTTGCAGTATGTGGGACAGGCCCGATCAATGAATCAATGAACGGCTGCAGTGACCGATTGCAATACCTGTGATAACAATACACTAAATTTTCAGTCACCGACTACGTGAAATGTTGTAGTTTATGCCCCGAAAACCTGTCTGGAACGCGAACGACCAGGCGAGTCTGTGTTTATTGAAGTGTGCTTTGTATTGCTGATAATTCTATGGTCTTATTGTTGACGTGTCGAAGTCTGCTATCGATTTTGATATCAATGTCCTAATTTTCGCTAATGTGTGGGGTACGTAGATCTGTTTTACGACGCAAGAGAATATCGTTAGAAAATGTCGCGCTGTTCTGGATTCGATAAAAACAAATTTTGCTCGTGGCAAGGTTTCCATTATTGTAAAGAATCCCCCGTATCAAGCTTCATAATACATGTACAAAGATGCTTATATGCTAGCGCCGGTCGACAGTCCAAAGATGAGACACGTACCTTCCCTCATTCATTTGGGGAAAATCATCATGTAATTCACAAAAGTGGAAGGGTATGAGCTTTGAAATGAAAAACAACATTTCTACCGATTAATTAAGAAGAAGTTTCACTTTGAACATGATTTCTATTTGTTGAAAACCAGATGCACCAGGCAGTAGTTGAAAAATATCGATACGATAATGGTCACTGATTTTTATCACAGGGACATGATAATTTATTACAGTTAGCTGTATTAGGCAACTTAAGGCCTATCGTGTTAAGGGTTTCTGTCGACAATAATTGGTAAAAAAAAAATACCGCCAACCCCCACACCCGCCCCATCACCCACACTCTACCATCAATGAGGGTACGCACAAGAAGATCACCAACCTAACTTTCTTTTTGCAAAACTACCTATTCTGGTAGGTGGACAAAAAAAATCATGGCGTTGCTGGAAAGATGAATCATTTTTCTTCCGATGATATTCGATATTCAAGGAAAATGTATTCTGCACACGCAGACACGATCTTCGGTTCGTCCTAAGGCACCCGCTATTTCGATTTTTTTTCCAAAGTTTCTTTGCTCGCATTTACCTCTGAACCCTAAAATAAAGAGTGTTGTTTGTTCTTGCATGGTCAATGTGACTAAATTATACAGATTATTTGTGAAAAGTTGCACGAATGGCGGTCCGCGCCACCTTAACCTTTGACCCTGAACATAAAATAAGAGTGTTATTATCTTTACCGGTCGTTATTTTATTTGTTTTCTACGTGTGTTTTGCGAATTAGCATAAAAGTGAATATCTTCCCAATTTATAAACAACCTACTTTGTACGATACAATAATGATAAGGATGAAAAAAATGATGTCCTTTTTATACAAGTTACCTCCCTTCGACTGTTTTCCAAGAACAACAAAATGCCACTGGTGTGAAATTGGATTCCCAATGCATATGTCTGCTGATCAGCACTGTAAGTACTAATAAGGTATTGGCATTTTTAGGAACACATATTGTATGACGTGAGGTATTTTAATTATTCTGATCATGAAAATCTTCTTTTTGTGAAGCGAATACACTAAATAGATATATGCAAAATTCTCACGAACACAACACAACGTATGCTCATTTTTTTGCACGGGAAGTTACGCGTACATAGTTATCTAGTTGACGTACTTCCTCTGTGTGGTATCAAGGGGAGATAATCAAAGAACAACTTGCATCGATTGTTGTTATGATAGCCACGACAGCCATAAAATCGATTTATTTCGCTCTACTGATTAACCGCAGTTTAAATGCATTTACTCACTGGACAAGCTTGGAATTATTGATTATTATCAAGGTACATGTATATAGGAAATTTGTTCCTTNGGGGGGGGACGGCATTCTAGACCTCTCTCGCTTACTTCAAATTCTTCTGTTTAAATTATAATTATCATCTATTTTTATTACGCACACTATCTTTATAACCCCTTCACGTTCAGATGTCGTTCATTTATAATGTGAATGTCATCAGTCGGTCGATGGTAACGTTATCAATATTATGACGTCATAATTTTTGCGTTAAATATATACCAATTAATGGCCCTCCCTGGACAGAAGGTTTTCTTTCATTGAACAAGCATGTACAATAAATGCATTATTTGAACTAAATGCCAAATAATACTAAATGTAATTGAATTTTCTGTAAGAGATAAACGGATTCCCAAAATGATAAATATATAACTAATGAATTGATTGAAGTTGGCATTCATAGGCAATGCCAACTGGACAAATGCACATTCAATTGAGCCTATTGGTATGTACAGGGAACAAAAAGTACTTTTAAGTATTCACGCTGGTACAGGTAGGTACAGGTATATGAACGCAAATCGGAGATGAAGCCCTCTCGTGCTTCATGTTGAATTAGGATGTAACAGATTGGCGTTCATAATGGATTGAATGTAAAATATGACTTAATAATATTTCCATTTTTAATAAGTGCCCGTTGTTATATCGTTAAATGCATTTTACTGCATTCTAAATTTCTCATAGCCAGTGAGCTAAACTGGAAACTATTTTTTTCGTTGAGCTTTTCTAGAGTGATGTCACTTCACTTACTGTAAAGCTGCTGTTATGTGCCTGATTCTAGCTTTTGATCCAAGTCGACAGAATTTATCAAGTGTTATCCTTGGTGTGTGCGATATATTCCGTTGCTATAGTATAATGAAATAAACTGAACCTAAATTGATATTACAGTGACAATTCTATGTAGTGCCCTTCGTTTATATACAGTAAACCATTTATGAAATGACTCGTTTTATTTACCAGCTTTTCAAATTCTCATGTAATTGTTCATTTTTTTCTGGACAATTTCCTTTTACTTCTTCTTTCAATCTTTTGCCAATCCTCTTTATAACGTCAGAATTTCGCTCATTTCATGATGACAGTTTACTGAGGTTTTGCTTTATCCTAGAACAAATTGGATCCAAATTTATTTCTTGTTCCTCCAAATCCCACTATGACGTCAGAATTTCTCTCCAGAAATGCTGACAGTTTACCGAGGTTTTGCTGTTGTCTCGAAAAAATGGATCCCGCATTATGATCTCTGTTGTAAATCGTTCTGCATGTATAGGTTGCATACTGGAAATCATAATCAATATTTTAAATACACGATAACATCGATAAAATATTTCTGAGTATCAGTCTAGATTTTTAAAAACAAGAGGCCGATAGAGCCTGTACATTTTTAACATATTTGACCCCTGTGACACTGAAAGTAGGTCAATGTCATTTTAATGAGAAAAGTTTATAGAATTCCATCCGGGGTACCTATTGGCCAAATATTATGACCCTGGGCTTTATGGAACTTGAGAAGAAGACTGTTAAAGCTTTTAACAAATGTTGACCTTTGACCCCCGACTAGCACTAAAAGTTGACCTTTGACCTCATTACTGTCATTAAGAAAAAGATTTGCACTGCTAATCTGCAAAATATACCCAAGTACCAAGACTGTAGTCCAAATGGTTCTTAAAATTTTGTTGCTTGAATTTTTAACATATTTGACCCCTGTGACCTTGAAATTAGATCAAGGTCATTTTGATAAAGACGCTTTATATCATTCCATTCCATGTAACTACTGGCTTAATATCCTGACCCTGGGCCTTATGGAACTTATTAAGAAGATTGTTAAAGCTTTTAACCAATGTTGACCTTTGACCCCGACTAGCACTTAAAGTAAAATTTTGACCTTTTTTTCTGTATAAGTATTTTTTTCACACAACTGGTCTTCATAACATACCCAAGTATTATGACTCTAGTCCGAATGGTTCTTAGGATATTGTTGTTTGAAGTTTTTAGCATATTTGATCTCTGTGACCTTGAAAGTATGTCAAAGTCATTTTAACGAGAAAACTTTATAGCACTCAATTCCAGGTACATACTTGCCACACATCATGATCCTGGGCTTATAGATCTTGAGATGAAGATTGCTAAAGCTTTTAACCCATGTTGATCTTTGACCCCCGACTAGCACTTATAGTTGGCATTTGACCTCATTACCATAATTAAGAATAAATTTGCGTTTCCGGTCTCCATAACAAACCAAAGTATCATGACTGTAGTCTAAATGGTTCTTAGGATAGTGTTGTTTGATTTTTTTAACATATTTGACCTCTTTGACTTTTAAAGTAGGTCAAGGTCATTTTAATGAGGAGACTTTATAGCACTTCGTCCAAGGTACCTACTTGCTAAATACCATGACCCAGAGTCATCTGGAACATGATAAGAAGTTTGTTAAAGCTTTTAACCCATGTTGACAAGTTGACATTTAACCTTATTACTGGAATGAAGAAAACACATTTGCACTGATACCTATATATTATGATTCTAGTCAAAATGGTTCTAAGAATATTGTTC